CAAGGGGAATACGAGAGAACTTTTATGCAAAACTGATCGTTATTTAGGTATTAGGTATGAGAAAAACACGGGAAAACTCCGTGCAGTTTGCCCTTAAGTGAGGCGTAAACTCGCAATTAGAGTGTTCAGTGGTTTTACCCATTCGGCAACTGATGGTCGCGTAATGAGATTTTTTTTATTATTATTATTCAAATACAGAAATTATTGCTTTCCAAGCGAAAACTTGATAAATCGTTAGTTAATTGACATTTGGGCCACTCTGTATGTAAAATGCTAAATAATTTTGAATATATATATATTCTCATTATCTATTACTATATAAATAACACGTCAATAAATATATGTATATATGAATAATTTATATATATTTGTAAGCTTAAAAGCCTGTTATAAGATTATAAGATAAAATTGTTTAAATTTTAAAATTTAAATACATTTTACAAGATCCGTTTAATTGGATTCTTATAACATTTATCTAAATTATTTTCTGAGTAACGGAGGAAGAACTCGCATTAGTTTCAAATCATAACGATATTATCGAAAATACAATCAGAATTGGAAGAAATCCTTTAAATCCCTAGATGTTGGAGATTCAAGAAAAAAAAAATTAAACTGAAGAATATAAAGCTATCGAAGCTGATAAATAAATTACATACCATTAAACACTATCTTGAATAATGTGATCCGAAATTGAATCCAGTCCGAATTAATGATTTTTTTCATCAGAGAGGAAAATTATCCGAATTTACTTTAAAAAAATAAGTATTTCTTTTTAAAACTCTTATGGATAAAGAAAAGTGTCGGTAAAGTATGATTATGAGGAATCTGAGGTCACAAAAAACCTCAGAGATTCCTCATAATTTGGAATTCCTCAGATTCTACTGGCCTTCTAGTGTTACAAGTTAATTTTTAATTACGAAAGTATATTCTCTGTTTTTTTAATAATGTATTTTTGGTGTATTTATAGTGAATGTATAGGCCTACACTTATGCAATCTTCTGTACAACATGTAGTCTTATAGGATTCTTTTGAAATGTAGTCTTCTCGTTACGAAAAGTTTCTCTTCTCTGTTATATAAGGAATAGAAAGTATCTTGAAACTGAGAAAACAGAAGATATCTATATTCAAAGAGGATTTAGATAAATCTGTTACTATGCATAATCAGTATTAGATAAAGGTTCATTGAAGATCGAGTAAGAAATTCTCACTAGATCTCCTCTTCTTAAAAATGTCTCGTTTAATTTATTAAAAATTGGATTTGAGATTGATGGGATAAGGTAATGCACACATGGGCGATCTGCCAAGAAGGTACCTCCCTATAGACTTTCTTTCTTATAGGACTGGACCGTATTTAGATGTTAGACACGCGAAGGAAACCCGGAAACACTTTGATCACGTGCAAACCAACAAACACTACCAGTGTTCAGTAGTTTTATCTACGTGGCCATTGGTGGATTTCTTAAAATCTGGAAATTAGCAAACTCGTATATTGCCAATTATCTCAATATTCGAATTCTTTCACATAATTTAAAAATGGAAAATAATGTTAAATCTTTAACCAGTATCTCAGAGTGTAATGGTTTATGTAATCAGGTTGATATAATTTTAAAAATATATCACTTACTTCACAGCAGAGGTAACTTAAAACAGTACACAATAAATTGGTAATGATTATAGATTGGATAATAGTGCTTGTGTCTTAACGATATTAATTATTATATTGTCTTTTGATGATTAGCTATTGTTTCATACATCAAATTGACAAAGTATTGGAGTAAAGAGTACTTCATATTGAATGATTAAGAGGAAAGTATCTGAAGCTAGTGTTTGGCTAACAATTAAAATATTTAGGATGGATTTCGACAAGGAATTTAGGTTTTAATTAATGACATACACTATTTTATCGCATTACCTTTCAAGAACGTTTTATTAAAAATTGACTGGTGCATAGCCGAGTGAATAAAACCAACGAAAAATAGTAATCAGTGGTGAATTTTCGTTTTACATTATTATAATTTTATTAAATAATAGATACAATTTATAAACTATAGATAATACGAGCAATTAAAAGAATTTCTGCTGCGAATTTATTTATATATTTTTATTAATAATATAAAATCTAAATTAAAATAAGTGATTCTATTAATATTTTGCAATTTTCTTCCGCTTTGTAAAGCTCTGTTCTACGGTCACACGCACGTGTACCCTGTGTAATGTGATACTGATTTTAGTATTGTATAGCCCTACACTTTAATGTCAGTTTTACGTCATATCTTAGTTTTACAATGAATAACTTTAAAGAAAATGTCGCCAAATTGACGTAAAAATGTGCCCCATCTCAACTAAACGAATCGTGCTCCAGTACAATTTAACCAATTTTTTATTTGAAAGCGCCATCTATTGACGTTCTTTAATAATCTTGTAAACTAAATACTGTATTTCGATGATGTCTACTAGCGCCATCACGAACAGTTAAATGAACTATTTATCAAATTTGTTTTTCTACCGAAACAGATAGCATTTAATAAAACAATTTACTATATCAATTATTTTTAAAAATTAATAATATAAATACTTATAGAATATACCATATAGTGTCCGGTAGATACCTTTGAAATTTAACGACTGAAGTCAATATGTTCAATATGTTTATCCTCAACTTCAACGATCTTTGTTATATATCGTGGAATAAAATTGATTAATTAACCTGCAAGTTCTTCATCCAGAATCTTTCATACAGCTATCTCTAGAATTAAAGATAACTGTATGAAAGATTCTGAATGAAGAACATAAAGTCCATTCAATTTCCTTCCACTGTGTTTTAATGTAAAACTATGAAATCTTCGCCATTCAGAGAAATGTTCTTCAAAGTGTAATGATAAACTTTGGAATAAGCTTGAGGATGATCGAAATTCAAGTTGAAACATATTGAATACATTGTATTTAAATATTTTGCGTTTATTTTTACAATATTTGATGCAATTTCTTAAGATTCCATAATTCTGTGCATCAAGTTTATGAAAATAATAATGGAGTGGACTGGAGGAATAAGGCAAACGAAACACATGCGTGATCTGCCAAGGGAGATGCCTCCCGGGAGGACTTTCAATAGAAAGTTGGCTCCTGTTTAGATATTAGACAAGTGAAAAAAAACCCGAAAAACTTCACGTAACCAGCTCTTTAGATAGCGAACATTCGGAACCAAATATTTAGTATTCAGCCATTTTATTTACTCGGTCATCACGGGCAGAAAGTCTTCATGAAAATCTTTAATATGTTATCAATCTTTAATAAAATCCAATTAAAATACTTTAAACTTTTAATTAATTCGTTTAGGATATATTTATATATTTTCTCAGAAAAGAAAAAGATGAATTTATAAGAAATTTTAAATGGTTTGTATCTTAAAAACTTCATTGAAAAAATATATTTCTTGAAGAATACATTTTCACCTTCTGTTGTATTGTCAGAAGTTCTCACTCGCTTATACAATTTTAAAATAATCCAATGTAATTCGAAAACACCACAATTCATCTTTTCTGACATTTACTTGAGTATTTTTCGGAACTTCTTCAATGTAAATAAATGTATTAAACCGATATTAAATTCTCTATAGCTCTAAACTAAAATATACCTTTGTGTATTCAACAAAGTTTTCTGGCTTTAAGAAAATTCATCAAATATAAAAAAAGGCACAGTTTAAATTTATACGATTTTCTAAAAATACAAGTCTGAAGAAGTACTGTGTGTAGATACGAAGTATATAGAGCAATATAAGTGATTGCGCGTATCTCGTCATATTGCTACACGTATTATATAATGTTGGATGCCATTTTTAATCGTTTTATATTTAATAATTTAAAAAAAAAAATACTCGTCTTTAACTGCTATTACTTAGTCATTTCTAAATAGTCGTGTTTACTAGAAAGATATCATCATAAATTCTCTTCTTAAAGATTAAAAATCATTGATCTAGTGGGGTAGATAATTAATAATTTAAATAATTTAAAAGTTAGTTTTATCGTTAATTATGTTATGTTTAATTTTGTGATAAAATATATGCTTATGTAATAATTAATATTTGGTTCAAGATCTTAGTTGAAACATTCAACGAAGTAATTGATTCATGATCAATATTTACATAATATTTTTACAGAAAATAAGCTGTTTTCTTTAAAATAATATTTAATAATAATAATAATAAATATTTCTAATTTATACGATTTAAAAATACATTTATAGCAAACAGAACGGGAAAAAATATAGGCCCATATATTTTTTCAAGATTCTATATCGATTTTTGTATTTTTTTAAATCTAATTTCTATAGGTTTAAACGTCTTATTACATTACAAAACATAATTTTTTAGATTTTTTTAGAAGAAAAATGTACAGTGAAACCTATAATAGCGACCACCTCCCAACAATGGCTTTTTCAGGAACTTTTTTTCTTTTTTAACAAAAGGTCATACAAAATAACCTCTAAATAACAGCCATTTTTTACGTTCCCGTCAGTAGCCATTGTTCAGAGATTTGCCTGTAGTCTATATTAATATTTTTGAAATTATTTATTAAAAAAATTATTTAAAATTTTCCCAGAATTTATATATATATTTATTTATTTATTTACTATGAAGAATACATCAATTATAGTTAAACACTAATCGATCTAGATTGAGAGACGATTCTTTATCTTTCATCAACCATGAACTGATGTCTTTTTTGTTGATAATTTCTCAAGCGGTAAAATGGATTTAGTGATAAAAATCCAAGACAAAATACTTTTTTTTTTGTTGAATTCTTCAAGAATTGTGTGCCAAAATTTTTGTAAATATTAATAAGTAACTAATTTTTATAATTAAATGGTAAATATTTTATATTTCCTACTACAGATTTATATTTTTAGAGAGTTAATTGTATTAAATTATTTTATTATATACAGTAATTATATTGCTGTATTTGGCTACATAATAACATATATTTATTATTCTTTTAATTTAGGTAAAACAGTACCATTTGTTGAACTGGTAGTTGCGCACGGATCTCTCTTGACCATACTTGCAATTAGTTTCGAACGATATTATGCAATTTGTAGACCATTAAAAGCTGGATACACATGCACCAAAATGCGTGCCCTTGCAGTCATAATAGCAGTGTGGATGATAGCATTTTCAATAACCTGTCCAATTTTGGCTCTTACAGAATACACGTATGCCCATTACGTAGATGGTAGCTTAGTGCCCGTTTGTCTAACTTCTGCCCAAAGCATGTGGCACAAGATATATTTTCTGTCTACTTCAGCTGCTTTTTTCTGGGTTCCATTAATCGTTCTCGTTGTTATATATGGTGTTATAGCCAAACATCTCATGAATAGTAGATGTTTAATAAAATCTAGTATGGAACACACGCAGATGAAGGCAAGAAAACAAGTGGTGCTAATGCTTTCCACTGTTGTTTTTTGTTTCTTCGTATGCCTTACTCCTTTTCGAGTCTTTACAGTTTGGTTAACATTAGTTTCTCAAGATAAGATAGAAGCATTAGGTATGGAGACATATTACAATCTACTGTACTTCTGTCGTGTCATGTTATACATCAATTCTGCAATTAATCCAATACTGTATAATTTAATATCTTCAAAATTTCGGAATGCTTTCTTTCATTTAATATTCTGTGGTACACATAAACGTTTAATAAGAAGAACAGTAACTGTTAGCACGTCTACAACGTTAAGAACGAGCAGCACAGGAGGGAAGAGCCAAGTGCAAACTGTCGCAAGTAACACAATATGCAAAATTTCGCCCAAGAAAACGTATGATAAAAGTTTTGTATGAAAAACTATGCCTATATTTTTTAATTATATAAATAAATATATATATACACAAACGTCAAAGTTTACATCGAGTGATGAACTTCTTGCCCTACGTTACGAACACTTCTTATGATCAATTTTGGAATTTCATTTGTTCCAATTTATTAATAATTGTAAATAAACCGTCCTACTTATTTCTTTTGCCCGAAAATAATTTAAAATATGTTTGCTCATGTAAATACTAATTAATTTAATATTTTATTGATAAATTATTGTCTGAGAAGATTAAATTATGAATTTACAAAGAAAATTTGACGTTCAAAATGGTAATATATATATACAGGAAATTCTCTAATTAACGAACTTGAGGGGACCAAGTTTTGAGTGTGTTTGATATAAGGAGAAAACAAAAAATGTCTTTACAAAATCTTTACAGAGTATAAAATGCATTTATTGTTAACATAAATCGTGTGAAATGTAATATTGCTTGTAGTCTGCTACAGCAGAAAACAACATACATAATGAGTTAGATAGAGAAATTGAATTTGAATGACAAATTTTTCTCATTTTATCTCGTCGTCATGACTCGAAAATGAATTCCAACATTCAGAAAGCACTTGCTGTTAATACAAATTTCGACATAATCTGATAAACACAAGAAAATTATTAACCCAAAGCGATTCTTTCAACGTTATTAGCAAAAACTACCGCAAATTTTCTTCAAAAGTAGCACAATTGTTGAAAAATCGCAAGATCTGGTAATTTGTTCCGTGTCTATCATCTATAATTGTTAAATATATTTTAATGCTCGTAGGGTCTTCGACTTCTCTTCAAACGGATATTTTTGATATAGTTTGCAGTAAGTTAAATGGCCGAAGTTCGTAATAAAGGGAATTTTATCAGGAGATTTTGTAATTTGTTCCTTATACGGCGTAATATATCCTATGTTTGTATACGGCATTTTATGGGGATTGTCAGTTATTCGATTAGGGAGAAGTTAATTCTCCGAAGAATTCGGAATTAAAGAATTTCCTGTAATTTAAAAGTTCAGTTTCGAACTCTCAGCCATTGAAGAAGAAGAAAATTAAAATGGTATTCTCCAGTTAGGTGTTTCATAGACTTTCACATGAAATGAACCATTGGATTTCTTACTTAATCTCTTGAAGTATCCATGAAGAATACATCAATTATAGTTAAACACTAATCGATCTAGATTGAGAGACGATTCTTTATCTTTCATCAACCATGAACTGATGTCTTTTTTGTTGATAATTTCTCAAGCGGTAAAATGGATTTAGTGATAAAAATCCAAGACAAAATACTTTTTTTTTTGTTGAATTCTTCAAGAATTGTGTGCCAAAATTTTTGTAAATATTAATAAGTAACTAATTTTTATAATTAAATGGTAAATATTTTATATTTCCTACTACAGATTTATATTTTTAGAGAGTTAATTGTATTAAATTATTTTATTATATACAGTAATTATATTGCTGTATTTGGCTACATAATAACATATATTTATTATTCTTTTAATTTAGGTAAAACAGTACCATTTGTTGAACTGGTAGTTGCGCACGGATCTCTCTTGACCATACTTGCAATTAGTTTCGAACGATATTATGCAATTTGTAGACCATTAAAAGCTGGATACACATGCACCAAAATGCGTGCCCTTGCAGTCATAATAGCAGTGTGGATGATAGCATTTTCAATAACCTGTCCANATTGAGATTTTAAAATAAATATTGAAAATAACGCATTAGTGGATTACTTTTCTTTTTTTTAGGATGGAACGTGTAATGCTATTCCCAACGTTCTATAGTCAAGCAGTTTGGTTTTTGGAAGGCAAAATTACTGAGAAGGAGAGAAAGTAGTAAAGATGATAGGGATGAAAGTGAATGTTAGAATAACAATAAGATAGGAGTGACAGGAACGTTTACCTATCACCACTTTAACATTCGATAACACCCGTTCACCCTATCATATTTTTGGAATTTATTGTAAGAAGTTACCATGTAATGTGACCTATTGATCAGTAATTATATGGATACAAGGGTCACCAGAACAAAAATATTACTATCTCTAAAAGTTAATACGAAGAGCAGAAGCCAAAGTGACTTTGTCTAAGCTAGTTAGGAGACACTAAAGAGAGTGAATAACAGAGACTTTAGGAATTCCAAAGAAGATTAAGGAAATTAGTTTAAATATTTTCAATACACCAAATTAATATTAATCCTAGAAATGTATTTATAATGATGCTTCTTTAGTTCTTTAACTATTTCCAGAATCACATACTAATTTTAAATCTAATTAGAATTACTGATAAGGTACTAAAGTATCCTTATAATGAATCATAAAAATATTTTATTTCCTTAAATATTTTCAAAAAACACTCACTAATTTATTTCTATTTCTAATTTGTAATCAATCAGGAAAAAAGAAAATAAAAATAAAGGAAGAAAAATCGAAGAACTCTCTCTCTCTCCTCTTTGGTAAACGTTAGCATAATGATAAATCGTTATTGCTGCGAAAGTGCGATTAGTGTCAACTTTCTATCTTCTTCGTAATATTAATTCTGATATTCCATTAATAATAATTCGTTACCCTAGTCCATATAATAATTATATTCACTTAGTGAATCCGAGAGTAAAACCCATAACCATAAACATCTTGATTTATTGACAATTAACATGTATAAAGTTATATATATATATGAAGTCAGAAAATTAAAAAAAAAAAATGTTTTATCGAATAAATAATTGCATAAACAAGTGTTTAAAATTATAAAAGTTAAATAAAATAAATTGTTTTATAAGTTATAACTGCTTTTATTTAAATAATAAGACTTAAAATTGAAATTTGAAACATTATTTTTTATCATAACTGAAGATTTCAATTGATTGAGAACTTGAGGGGACCAAGTTTTGAGTGTGTTTGATATAAGGAGAAAACAAAAAATGTCTTTACAAAATCTTTACAGAGTATAAAATGCATTTATTGTTAACATAAATCGTGTGAAATGTAATATTGCTTGTAGTCTGCTACAGCAGAAAACAACATACATAATGAGTTAGATAGAGAAATTGAATTTGAATGACAAATTTTTCTCATTTTATCTCGTCGTCATGACTCGAAAATGAATTCCAACATTCAGAAAGCACTTGCTGTTAATACAAATTTCGACATAATCTGATAAACACAAGAAAATTATTAACCCAAAGCGATTCTTTCAACGTTATTAGCAAAAACTACCGCAAATTTTCTTCAAAAGTAGCACAATTGTTGAAAAATCGCAAGATCTGGTAATTTGTTCCGTGTCTATCATCTATAATTGTTAAATATATTTTAATGCTCGTAGGGTCTTCGACTTCTCTTCAAACGGATATTTTTGATATAGTTTGCAGTAANTTTTAAAAACCAAAGATAGCCAATACTCTAATAACTCAATTTGGCTATTTTTGTAGAGATAAAGTCTATTATATTTGAGAAACCGAAAGAGTATTTGAGATAAGGAACACGAGGCAAAACTCCTTTTCTGTGGTTATCAAAATAAGTGATTATATTCGGCAAATATTGCTATTTTTAGTTTTGTACTAAATATAGGCCTACCAGTGGGCAAGCGGTTCCGTTCCGTAGTTCGGTCGTGGGTTAGTGCCTCGCCCGGACAGGCTGACCACGTGGAGTTTTCCGGGTTCTCTCCACTTCTGTAACGCGTGAATAGAGGCCAGTTACCCTTAAAAACACCTCCCAAAAGGCATCCCCTAAGCGGATCGCCCAAGTGATGCGTTGCCATAACTTAAACTAAATATAGATTATATAATACAGTATATAATACTAGTTATGTGTGATCCGTTGCTCGAACTTTCGAGACGTTGGAGGATTGTTGAGGTTGGGTTGGGAAAGGGTGATAAAAACAATAGTCTTAGTAACTAAAATGTGCATTTATTGACCTGAGTATTTACAATAATGAAACTGCAAAACACAAAAAACTTGCTCGTGATAAAGTTAACAAGGCCTCATTACCTCAAAAGTTCGAGAAATGCCGGACATACACAGCCAGTTTTATTTTATGTAACTTTATTAACGTTGAAAAATAATACAAAATGTCAAAAATTAGCAAAAAAATACAGAAACGGTTTTAAAAAAATTAAATCGCTACATGGCGTGAGAGCACCCGAAATTTTGTCTCGTAGACTTATCATTATAACTTTGCCGCTACACCTGAACCATTGCATCTTTCTCAAATCTCTCTTCAGCGGCGGTATCTACAGAGTAAGAGCTTTAATTTTGATACCTGAACTGTATTTTTAATCCCAGCCGTTCACTCAAAATAAGTCGGACAAATTGAAATCCTCTTTCAATTATATAGATTATATATACTTTATACTTTCAATAATTTAATTTAATGAAATGATTATGATGTTCTCATTTGTACCGTACAAGGTAAGACAATATCAACTTATAACCATAATAAATGGCATAAATCTGTGCATATCGTCGCTCCAAAAATTCAACTCTTTGGATATGAGAGTCGTCGAAGGATATAATGTAGAGTTTATATCTGTTAACGTACAAAAGAAAGTCTAAAAGAAAAAGATAGTGGATCACCAAAGTTTTTTTTAACTCTATGGGCACTAAGAGGGCCTCTTTTGCAAGCCCATTAAGGGTTCGGCTAGGCCCATAATAGGGCTTCTGGGTGATAAGGGACGGGGCCCGACATATCCGAACGGACCAACCCCGGAAAAATTCTGTGGAATTTTTTCGTCTCGTTCGGATTCGAACCCGGGTTCCCCAGAGCGGTAAGCTGCCCCCTTGATCGCTCGGCCATCCGGCCACCGGATCACCAAAGTAGAAAATGTGAACATGAGAAAGTAAGTAATTTTTTAAAAAATCTCGCAACGAGTTGCTTAACTTTCCTGATAACATTTGGCGGCGCCATCTGTTATGATATTTTATTAAAAACAACTTTTTACATTTTCAACTATTATAAAATGGTAAAAAGCTTAATTTTGAGGGTAGGGGTGGGTTTTATAAAATAATTGTAAATGCTAATAACGAGTAAAATCTTCATTAAGTCAGACCCTATTCGAGATATGACACGACCTTTTTATCTCCCCATTCCCTAGACCTTTAATCACCAAAATTTAATAACATCAATTCCCGTTATAAATAAACTTCCCCGCAAATTTTCAG